CAGCCTGAGCCCGGAGCAGCCCCTCAGAAACTCTGCGAATCAGGCTGTTTGTCTCGGACCACCTCCTAATTCCTAGCCAGCTCTTCCGTGCCTCAGTTTCCTCAATTACGAGATGGGAATAATTGATTCTGATCTGGCCTATTTCACAGCATCGTGATGGAATAGAATGAGAATGTACGTGAAAGACTCTTTCCTTCAGACCATGTGGGGCCGGCTAGGCTGGCACCCGGACAGCAGCCAGGTTCATCCACAGGAAGGCAGGCACTGACTGCAGATCAGGGCTCACAGTTCTAGTTCCCGTTGTCCCTTCTGTCCAGAACGTTCTTCCACCTTTGCTAAACTCCTACTCATTTCTTTAAGATCCCAGTTCAGGGCCAGTAGATGGCGTGGTTAAGGTGCTGGATCCCACAAAGCTGACTGAGCAGTTCAAATCTCAGACCCGACAGCTTGAAAAACAGGCCAGGCACAAGTACCTGCATGCCCAAAATCCTGAGAGGAGAATGGACGAGAAGGGATTATGCTATGGCCATCCTCGTTGGGGGGAGATTTCTCCGTTTCCTTCACTCTTTCTGTCTCTCTCCAGAGAGCATAAGTGCCCTATAGCAAAATTTTAAAAATTAAAAATAAATTGAGTTTGTCTTCAGAATATCTTCGTTATTCCTGTGGCCTGTTGTAGCACCCCTAGTAGCACTTTTCACTCCATACAGTAGATGTGGAAGTTCTTCAAGGGCAGAGATGATGTATTTTTTATCTTTGCACCCACCTGCCACCCACCACCGCTGTGTGGCCAGTGCTGGGACCTGGCAGATATCAACTGACGTTCAGAGTTGACTATGAAATTGGCAAAAGTTCAAAGTCGAGAAAGAGGTAAGCACCAGAGAGACCTAGGAGGGCAGAAAGGGTGGGACAACGTGCACAAAGCCAGTGGAGGGGACAGCAGGCAAGGAATGCTGGGAGGGAGTGCACTAAGGTCAATTCCAGTCAGTAAGGACACTGCCATGGGGACAGGAATCAAAGCCAGACCCTACCTTCTGTGAACAAAACCAGGAGCACCCTCATGAGATCCAGGGACTGTAGGTCAAGTAAGTCCCTCAACCTAAACTGGAACAGGAGGGCTTGGGGACAAGGAACGAGGGCAGAGAACAGAACCAGGGCAAGGCTGAAGTGGTGGTGAAGCCCGGAGCTTCCAGGTTAGTGAGCATTCTCCATTCTCCCCAAGTTGAGTTAGCAGCAAGGGATCAGTGACTTCGGCTATGGAACAGAAATTTCAGAGGCGGGAGTCATTACAAATTTAAGTTGTGACTGTCTCTTTGAAAAAAAAAAAAAAGAAGCAGAGACAGAAGGGACTCTTAAATCTGTAAGAAATATCAGGAATCACCTAGTCTAACAGCCTCATCCTACGAAGGGGGAAACTAAGGACCCAGAAGGAAAAGGGGCTTGCCTAAATTCACTCAGGGCAGAACCAAAGCTAGAACCCGTGTCTTCTAAATTCCAATCCAGTTCTTGTTCCCTCAGAGGCTATCTGCCGTCAGTCAAGCAGGTCTCTCGATGGTTCCACTAACATACCAGGTGCTTAGCTCTAGCTGCCCCAGAATCTTGGGGACCTTCCCCATTTGGCGCCCACTAAGTGAGCACAAGTGATTCTGTCCATGGAGAGACGCAGGTCCCCACCTGGGGGCAAAGTTCCGAGCCAATGTCCTTCAGGAAATGTGCAGGTAGCAGCCCCAGCCAGGGCTTCACAAGCAGAGCGCTGCCGTGGTCTGTAACTTGCGGTCAAGGAGCAAACTACCCTGGTCACACGCGCCTTGCCCTGACCTGTGCATGGGGACAGCGATGTCAATCACCAGCCCTGGGGTTTTCTACCACCTAAGGTAAAGCCAACAGTGCATAGAACACACAGTTCCCGCCACCGTAAGGACGAGGCACGCCAGGTCTAAAACCCCGAAGTCCTTCTCAGGCTAGAGATGAGACACGACTTAGAAGAAAAGAATTGAGACTCTCAGGGAATTAAAGATCCTGGCTCCTAGACTTCAAGAACTTTCATCCAGGGAAGCATACATATGAAAAAGGAAGTGAGGAAATAACCCTCAATGTTACTTCAGTACAGAAAAACGACATGAGTTTCTTCAAGCACTTCAAGTTCACTCACCAGACAGCTCACTCCTCCTTCTGCTGATTACTGAGGCAGTAAGGGAGTTCGCGGAAATGAAAAGCAGTGAGGCTCGTGCCACACAGGGGTCCTGGCAGGGCGGGACTCATCAGCCTGGTCCAGGACTGTCCCTGCTCCTCCCTGGCCACGGTAGCACCTAGTTCAGTATGGCTCTCACCTTTTCCAAGGTGAATCCACACACAGTAATGCATAACTACCCACTGGTGTGGCCCTGTCTGGGCCTCAGGCAAACAGATGTCTGGCAGGCCAGACTTGGGCATCAGCGGCTGGAGATAATTCCCAGACCCAGATTACCAAGAGGGAACAGCCTGGAGTCTGAACCTGCAGCGAGACCAGAGAGTATGCACCCCAGCACCCCAGAGGACAGAGAAGGTGGGGAGCACTGAAATGAAGCTGCCAAGGGGCTTGGCTCAAGCCATCCCCTCCTGCATATTGCCCTGCTAAGAAGCTACATGAAAGTCACGTCCATGTCAGGTTCTTAGGCCTCGTTTGCCCAGGCCATGTCTGTTACAGCGCTACACATAGGGCTACTCCAGGGCAGGAACAGGCTTCAAAGGGGATGAAGCGAACGGACCTAACGGTCACCAAGTGCCTACCTCATGCCATGAACTCTGCATGTTACCCCACCCGCACTTTATGGATTATTATCCTCATCTTGCCAAAAGAACAGGAGACTCAGAAAATCTCTGAAGCCTTTGTCCCTCTACTACTAAGCGCTCCAACCACAAAGTCTCGAATGATCTGGGAAAGACGAGAAAAACTGAAGAGTCTAAAGTACCGTGTACCAGGCTGTCTGCACCTCACCTTACTAAGCAGACAGCACTCCTTTAAGACTGCATTCCTCATCCCCTGCTGGCAAAGCCAACTCCTGCCAAACGGAATCTAGAGAAGTACAAACTCATGTTTTCTTATGGTCTTTGCCCCTGAAATTCTGTCCCCAAGATCATCTCTTTTTTTTTTTGAGAGGTTTTTGCTATAGGATGCAGGCGCTCGCTAGACAGAAAGAGACAGAAAGTGAGAAATCACCCCCCAAGGGGGATGGCCACACCACAATCCCTTCTCCTCCATTCTCCTCTCGGGATCTTGGGCACGCACGCACACATGCCTGGCATGAGTTTTAAGCCACTGGGTCCGGGACGTGAACCACAGTCGACTACGTGGGAGTCCAGTGACATAGCCACTATGCTAACTGCTGGTCCCCCCAAGATCATCTCTTAAGGAAGCAGTTCAACAGAGATTCACTGCAAGTTTCACAATAGCGCCCCCCCCCCAAAAAAGGAAAAGATCTGTCCAACATCCAAAGGAGGGTTTGGAAAATGCTAGAACCTTCTAATCTTCTAATATTATATAGCTACTTTAAATGATCATTCTAAAGACCAAGAGGAATCAAAGCAAAGCACTTGTGCAATAAAATGAAGACAACACAAAACCTCACAAATGCTATGATTACAACTTTGTAGCGGTGCGTTCATGTGCAAACCCAAACACGTAGCTGTGTGGGAGTGGTGAGGTTACAGATGGTTTATTATTACCATGAGTAAATGGTTTTCGTGGTATGGCTTACTATCCTTTTATAATAGAATTATTTATTTAATTTTTATTTATCATTATTATTATTATTTTAATTTGACCAGAGAGAGACAAAAAGAGTAAAAATGAGAAAGCAAGCCTCTAGGTCCAGGACTCAAACCACAGTCAGCCATGTGGGAATCCAGACCCCCCACCACCATATCACCTGCTGACTCTAGCTTAGTACCTTTCCAATCAAAGAGAAGGACAGAGAGAGAAAGATGGAGTCAACCCAGCAGTAAGGAAGGGCCCAGGAGGACCAGCCTGGGGTGTAACGCAGAAATTGAGAAGCGTCCTACATACCCGGAAGGAGGAGGCCAGGCAGGCCTCTGGGGAAGGGAAGCCCTCTAGGTATGGAGAGGGTTGTAATTAGTCTGATGCTAATTACAGAAGTCTCACTGGCTTATTAATTGTTTTGACAGACTCTGAATGAAGACTGAGTACCTTCATTAAGCCAACTTAGGTCCACAGGCACATTGCCTGCGTGGTCATCCGCATTCTTCTCAAAAACCTGGCCTTGCTTTTCTTTTCTTTTCTTTTCTTTTCTTTTCTTTTCTTTCTTTTTTTTTTTTTTTAAGGACTGCAGTAAAGTAAAATTTAGTAGCAGAAACACATACCCTGGAGAAATTAAGTCTCCTGCCTTAAATGTAGAAATTCAAGCCATTTTAGAAAACCAAAGGGACTGGAACCAGCAAACGAGTTACAGTGTTTTCTACACTGGGAAATACAAAAAGTAAGAGCAAAATATTTGATCAGTATCAAGGCTCCCTTGACCAGGTTACAACCCATCTTTCTGATAGTCCCTCACGACTGCCCCTGCAGATACGCCGTGCTTCAACCAAACTGAACCACCCACAGTCCCCAAAAGAATTGCCTCACTGTCCTGCCCCCACGGCTCTGTTCAAGTCATTGTACCCAGCTAAGGGTTCTCATCTCTCTTACTACTGCTTGCTCAAGTCTGACCCATGGCTCAAAGCCATGCCATTCTAGAAACCTAAGCCAATCCCTAGGCCCTGTATTCACTTCTCACTCTGGGTGGACCAGACCCGCACTAAAGGAGTTCCATATAGTCTGCCTTGAGGAATAGTTCTCTGGGCACCTGACTTTTCTATCATAGTAGACCATGAGCTTTTTGGATTGGAGCTTCAGATTCCTACAAGGAACCCATCAAAATGCCTGGCAATCAATAGGCCCTCAGGAAACGCTTCTCTGAAAGATAAGGCAAAGAGACACAATGCAACTGTGAGAAGTTACTTCCTACCTCAGTTGCTCCCATCAGGCAATGCAGAGAGGAGGGTGTGCTGGTCTGTCGTCTCGAGCAGGGGAGGGGTGAATCTCGCCTTCCCAGCTTCCCGTCTTCATGAGACTCCAGCTTCCTCCCTAGTTGACCGTAGTCTGCTCGGCCCCAGGTAAAGACCTTGCCAGTTTCTAAACACAAACATTAGTTGAATTAAACTTACATCCCACAGCTGCGCTCTTGTGGTCGGCAATAAATTATAGACCAAGTGTGAACGCTCATTTTAGCACGCACCACGTATGGGGGGCTTCCTATCTTTCTGTGAAGAAAGCACAAGTATTTGCAGTTTTACAGACGTGGGGACTGAGTTCAGAGGTTAAATGACTTGCCCACGACCAAACAAGTGGTGAGTACCAGAGCTGGATTCAAACAGAGGTTGGTTCTGAAGCTCACGCTCTGTGTTCTCTATAGCCAGCAATGTGGATGTGAAGCTCCGACATGCTTCATGGCCTGTGCCCTCTCCCTCTCCACATGCTCCTCATCCTCTGCCCATGCTCAGGTTCCCCTCTCCTCCGCCCAGTTCAGGGCCCCATGAAGCCACCCTGAAGTTTCCCTGCCACTATCCCTTAAGGGCCTTACTCGTAGCTCACCTAACAGCCAGTTTCATGTGCTTTCCCCTGCACGTAGCCTAAGAGGACCTTTCAGAGTCTGCTCTTACCCAAAGCAACAATTCTAACAGTCCCAAGCCAAATATCTCTGTGTGCCAGAGGGAAGGGGGTGAAAGAAGGGGGAAAAAGACAGAACCATCTGAAGCCAAAACAGCGTTCCATCCCAAGATCCCCCACATGGGAAGCTGGCCACTGCTAGAGATGATGGAAGAAAGTGAAGTTTGGAAAAGAAGAATGGTCTTTCTTCTCCCAGATAAGAGAAAAATTCGCCCAACTCAGTTGTACCAAGTGCCGCATTTGTTATTTCAACAGAAATGCAAAATCCGATGAGGCATAGATTATTAACAGATTCCCTGCAATAAATATGCATCACCATGTGCGCTGTATAAATTCTTTACACATGTTTATTTTAACAAAGAAAAACTTTGCTTAAGAGACAAAACACCAAGTAATGCATATTAAATTCTAGACAAATCTACTATGTACTCCGTGTTTGGTACCAAAGCTTCATCTGGCCCCTCGTTCGACATATGGTTTATAGTGTCAACCAGAAAACAGCCATTCCACAGACTCCTGGGGGAAATGACAGACTATCACAGGGATACAGGGCCCTGCGGGGACATGGTGTGAGGATCGACCTGCTTGCAGACACTAAGGTGGAGCCCAAGCATCCAGTGGAATCCAACTTCGGGGCTTCCTCACAGAGCAAACAGGGTAGCTGGCGGGCTAACAAGGACTGGGCCTGGGGCTACTCGGATGTGCTGTCCCATGGCTCTGTGTGTGCTGTTCCTTCTGCCATGGATGTTCTTTCCTCACCTAGAAACTTCTGCTCCACCTTTAGCGTCCAGCTCATACACCAGTAGTTTTAGGTAACCTTTCTTGACTCTCCAACTCTTCCCAGAAAGGGTGAAAGTCCCCCTCCTGTGTGTCACCTGTCTTTATCGCTGTGCTCATCAGCTGCTGTTATCACTTAGGGAAGAAAGAATTAGGGCTCACAGAAGTGACCAGCCCAGCGTCGCGCAGTTAGGTCATACCTCTGCACAGCCGATGGCACCACTCTGTACTGGTCAGTCACACTTGTCCACTTCCCTGCATCATCACTGAATGGTCTTCCCCAATTTTACAGAATTGGGCTAAAAAAATTCCATATGCCCAACACCCATGAAGCATCCAAAAACGACCAACTGCCCATGCATGTGGGCTGGCCAGGACTGCTACCCAGAATGCCTTAGCAGGAAATTCCTGGACTCCTGGGGCAGGCAGGTCATAGTGGTTATAGCGCTGGACTCTCACATGCCCAGGAGTGGTGCATGCATCCCCAAAATCCCTAGAGGAGGATGAAGGACTGCAGGGTGGCCATCCCCCAAGGGTGACTTCTCACTTTCTCACTGTGTCTCTCTGTTTCTCTTCAACAAGAGAGCATACACACCCTACGGCAAAAACCTTAAAAAACTACAACAAAAATACCACTGCCCCTTATATGACCTTGGCTTCCCACCACTGGGGGGAACTAGAAAGTCACTGTCTTTGAGACTACTGCATGAACCATATCGTCACAAATCACACAAGTCCTTTCTTTCACATAAAGCAAAACATTTGTTTGTTTGTTTGTTTTCAGAAAGACTTTTGCTATAGGGTATGTGCGCTTGTCACAGACAGAGAGAAAGTGAGAAATCACCCCTTCCCCCCTCCCGCCCGGGTCGGATGGCCACACTGCAATCCCTCCTCCTCCATTCTCCTCTCAGGATCTTGGACATGCATGTACATGGCACCCAGTGTGAGTTTCAAACCTCCAAGTCCAGGACTCAAACCATAATCGGCCATGTGGGAGTCCAGCCTTGACCACTATCCCAACGGCTGAGCCCTGAAGCAAAACATCTCAGAACTGTCTCCATTACTGATTATTGATGTCCAAGACAAGCCAGACTGCCAGGACATGGTGCTGGCATTACTACACCTCCGACAGAAACCCCATCACTCCACTTACATGGCACTTTTCGCCTCCGAAGCACTTTACAAAGATTACTAATTAATCTTCATCCTCCCTGGAGGCCTGTAGACGTTCTAGGAGACATGAGCCCAGAAACCAGACACGAAGTTCAGCCTTCGGTCTCAATCCTGTGTTTGGTGCATTCTCCAAAGCTGCCTCTATTCTTCCTGGCAACACTCTGCCTCAGGAGGCTCATAAAGGAAAGAGAAGCCCCTTTCATTTGTCTTTAAACAGACAATTACTGACCACCTCACAGACACCCTCCATACACAGAGACACGATCTCAGTCTTCGTAATAACTCCGTGAATTAGATTATTCAGCTGGTTTTACAGAGGAACTCAAAGGACTTGAGAAGCTAAAAGGCTCGATAAGAGCTCAAACAACCGGCAAGTGGTGGAAGTGAGATTTAACCCAGTGTCTTCTCACTCCGAGTCCAAATCCTCAATGATTACACAGCTGCTGTCACAGACAGACAAGGCCTGGCTGATGAGGCAGCCATTTTTTACAATGTTTGAGGAGGAGAAAGCCCAGATTAAATGGATATGCTCTGTGTACCATCCAGCTTTCCTCCCCAGAAATCGCCTCCTTCCCAGGAGGCCATGCTGAACTCAGGACTGGAAGTGCTGAAATAGAGGCATTTAACACGCGGATTATGATTTTACATCACCTGGAGTAAAAGAAAATGGCAAATCCGCATTTAAAAAAATGTTCATTAATGAATTGTACATAGGGGGCCAGCAGGAGGTGTGGTGGTTAAAGCCCTCGACTCCCACATGGCTGACTACGGTTTGAGTCCCAGACCTGGTGGCTTGAAACTCCCACTGGGTATATATACAGGTGTGCCCAAAATCCCAAGAGGAGAATGAAGAAAAAGGGACTGTGGCATGGCCATTTCTCCCAGGTGGTGATGTCTCCCTTTCCTTCTCACCATCTCTCTCCGGCAAGCACACGCACCTGATGGCAAAAACCTTTAAAAAGTTAAAAAGAGGACAGAAAAGAACTGTACATAAGCATCTGCCTCAAGCTGAAGCATACCATCAAATCCAAGGATATTCAAATCACAAATTTAACAAATGAATCTTTTCCTTATAGAATTATATATTGTTATGATACAAAGTAGATGTCATTCAAAAAGTACAGGTGTGTGTCCGCAGGTAAGTGATGAGGGAACACAACCAAGCTGGCGAGGGAGATTCTGAGTAAAGGCACATCCACATGTGACCTAACACAGGGCAGCTACTGAGCCAAGAAGCATACGCTGCGAAAGGTCCTGATACCACATAGAAAAGGTCGGGCCAAATGAGTAATATTTACAAAGAACCCTGAAGGTGCTTGGAGAAAGCATTTCAAGCCAGAACTGCCTGGCAGGCTTGAGGAAACCAGTGGCATTTAAGGTGAACTTGTGGATAAGAAAAGAGAATGGGAGAAGGACAGAGGCTATTTTAGGATCGAGAAGAGAGAATGAGCAATGGCATTAGAATCTAAAGGCCAAAGGTCGGGCAGGAGAGTGAGTGAGGGTGACACAGGTCACTCATATCCCCATTCTACTGACAGGGAACAAGGTACCTATCCAAAGGAACAGAAGGGGTCGGTGAAAAGAGAAGAAAAGAAGAAACCATTGCAACCATTGTAACATGAGCCCAAGATGCCTCGGCCAGGATAGGAGTCATTAGAGAAAAGGAAAAGAAGAAAGGAAAGGAAAGGAAAGGAAAGGAAAGGAAAGGAAACAGGAAAGGAAAGGAAAGGAAAGGAAAGGAAAGGGAAGGAAAGGAAAGGAAAGGAAAGGAAAGGGAAGGAAAGGAAAGGAAAGGAAAGGGAAAAGGAAAAGAGGAGAGAAAAGGGAAGGACTGAATTTTCTTTCTGGGGCTTGGCACCCCATTAGATGTAAGACAAGAAGACAAGAAGAGAAAAACACTACTCTGAGATTTCAGGATTATTTTTAAAGAATTGTTTATTTAATTGTATTTATTGTTGTGTTTTTGTTTTGTTTTGTTTTGTTTAATTTTGCTCTAGGGCACATATGCTCACCAGAGAGACAGTGAAATAGAAAGTGAGACAGCAAGCCGCCAGGTCCAGGACTCAAACCACAGTAGGCCATGTGGAAGTCCAGTGCCCTAACCACCATGCCACCTGCTGGCCTCTTCTTTTGTTTTTTAATTGCAGAGAGAGAGAGAAAGTGGGAAAGGGAGGAAGCACTTCCCACTGGGGTGTGGAAGGGCATGCCAAGGGCAGTGTGGGTGGGCTTCCTTTACCTTCTGCCCAGGGTTGCCTGGCATGACAGTAAAGACAGGGGCCAGAGCCACAGCCACAAGCAGAACGGGAAGCCACTCTAGCAATATTCAAGCTCTTGAGAAAAGAGAAATTTCTACCCTGCTCCAGGGAAGGGAGTGCTGAAGATCACAGGGGCAGTAGAAGAGCATCAACACTTTCTAAACAGCCTGCCCAAATAAAAGGAACAGAGAATCACTGAAGGGAGCAAAACGCGTCGGCAGGACTGGCCCTGCTGCCTAGTAATTAAGAGAGACAATCCCA